AAGTGAGTGGGCCCAGGAGCCGGAGGGGAGCATGAAAGCCAGAGGTTCCTGGAGGAAGAAACCAGAGACAAGAGACGTGAATGGAAGTTTCCCTGTGCCAGACCCTGGGGAATAGACAGGCGGCGCAGGCTTTTCTCTGTCAGACTTTAGGAGACTTGGATGTGGCGTTTGCATTGGCTGTGACACTGCAGGCAGCACAGAGACTGGGCATTCTCAAACGAGCCGCATGTTTGTTTACACACTCCGCAATGGAAGAGTGTGCAAAGTAGATGGGTAGCCCCAAAGCGGGTCAAGAGTTTGTGAGGCACTTGGATAACCTCCAAACGTGCGGCATGCAGGATACAGGGAATTCCAGGCCCGAGAAACACCACATGCAAAGTCAAAGCAAAGAGTGGCTGATCCCGAGGGCATGTCCAATGCTGCGGCAACCTTGTTTGGGAAGTTCTTCCCCATAGCCTTTGGGGGCGGGGCGTGGGGCTGGACTTTTGCCCTGGCTGGCTTCCAGGTCCTTCACACATGTCACAAAAGGTCCTGCCCAGACCCAGCATTCTGTGAAGAACAATGGTTTCCAGATCTTGGAAGCTCCAAGAAGAAAGTAAGAAAAGTGCAGGCGAGGCCCTGCTTCCCTAGTGCTGAGGGAAGAAGCTGTGGGACTCGCCCTGCAGAAGCACGGGCCCTCTGGTGGAAGATACCAGCCTGGAACGCAGAGTTGTGGCTGCTCCGTTGGTTTGGGTGGCACTCACTGCTCACCTGCACTTGGTACACTCCTCCTCAGAGATGCTGGTCCTGAGTTCATTGCTACAGGTAGCTGTGACTGCATCTTGCCACCCTGACCTCAGCATCTGTGGGGACTGGTTTTCAAACCCATCTTTTTTCTCTTCCAACTTTCTTGCAGGACCGGAACAGTGACAAAGGGGCATCAAATCTGTCAGCTCTGCCTCTGGGTTTTCCAGAGAGCGGCTTTCAGTTGACCCTGATGAACAGCTGCAGCTTCTGCCAGAAGCTCCCAGGAGTCCCCCAGGGGAGCATGAGGCAGAGGTTAGGAAGGAAGTAGATGTGTTGAAGATCACCACCAGCTTGCCAGAAAATGACCATCAACACACTGATGTGACTGTGGTCTCTCAGGAGAAGAGCTGCTCGACCCAGCTCATGCGCTCCCAGGGTTTTCTGTGTCTTGATTCTGTTTCCTGCCCAGAGGATCTGGAAAGCTGTCACACATGGACAGTCCTAGAAGGCCTCATCCCAGTTTCCATGGGTAGTTGGAACCTCTGGTGGTTTCTTCAGCTGTCATATGCCAACCTCTGAACCAGCCTGTGGAGGAGGCCTGGGTCTACTTATAAGTGATATGCACACATCCACCCTACCCTGCCCTGGCTCTTGGTGGGCAGTGCTGTATGACAGACAACTTCCAGGAAAAGGTTGTGAATATCAAATGATTGAAATTTCACATGGACAGGAAACATTTGAAACTAAGGAAGGAGTGTGTAAATAACATAAAACAATAAATTAAAAAGCAGACCTCATGTTTCTGACAATCTTGGAAGTCACTTTGGACAGTCACAACTTAAACATGAACAGCCTGCCAGTGAGGGGAGTTGAAGAGTTG